TGGTCCGGTTGTAGTAATATTGTTCGCCCAACACCAGACCAAGAGCTGAGAGCCCGGCTCATCAGTTGGAACTATGTTCCTACCTAAATAGTTGTCTTGTGGAGTAACGCCCAAGCGGAACGCAAGATAATGAAATATGGATCTTGGCCCACTAGAGGTTTCACCGGAAATCTCCGAATCAATATCGAGGGTTATTGATTTGTTAAAAATAGTGGGAGATAATTAATTAAAGGCCTAATTAATTATTAAACATGATAGATAACCTAGTTTGCAAAATTTTCTGTAGATGGCAAACAACAACAACCCTTTCAACCTGCGTTACATCTTGGAAAACAACAAGTTATCCGGGACCAACTTTCTTGACTGGGAGATGAACCTCCGAATCGTTCTTGACTGTGAGAGGAAACTCTACATCCTCGAAACGGATCCTCCCAAGACCCCTGATGCTGATGCTCGTGCGTTCGAACTCACTTCCTTCAAGAAGTATGAGGACGACGCGCGAGATGTAAAGTCTATCATTATGGGTAGTATGACCGCGGAGCTCCAAAGGCTCCACGCGTACATGGAAGTGCGTCCTATGATACAATGCTTAAGAGACCTTTACCAGGGTCAGCCCCAAAACTTAGGAATTTACGTTATCGAAGTCAATATGTCTGATATCACCTCTTGGGTGATGGATACTACCTCTTGGGTGATGGATACTGGATGTGGTTCTCACATCTGTACTTCTATGCAGAACTTGCATGAATGTAGAAAATTGACGGAGGGAGAGATACAACTAAAAGTCGGCAATGGCGCACTCGTAAATGCATTAGCCGTCGGAACCTATAGTTTATCTCTACCTAGTGGTCTTATATTGCATTTGAATAATTGTCTGTTTGTACCTAGTATAAGCAGAAACATCATTTCTGTATCCTGCCTTGACAAAGCCGGATTTTCGTTCATTGTAAAAGACAAAACTCTTTCTGTCTTTAGAAATGATATATTTTATGCAAGTGCAAAAATGACCAACGGTCTCTATGTCCTTGACATGGATACCACAATATATAACGTAGATATTAAGAGAAACAAACCTAATAGTTTGAATCTCGCGTATCTTTGGCATTGTCGTTTGGGCCACATTAACGAGAAACGCATATCTAAGTTACATCGTTCCGGTGTACTTGATTCATTTGACTTCTAGTCATATGATGTATGTAAATCTTGTTTACTTGGTAAAATGACAAAGGCTCCATTCACCGGTCACGGTGAAAGAGCGAGTGACTTATTGGGCCTCATACACTCCGATGTCTGTGGTCCAATTAGCACTGTAGCTAGAGGTGGTTATTCTTACTTCGTTACATTTACTGACGATCTTAGTAGATATGGATATGTGTATCTCATGAAACACAAATCGGAATGCTTTGACAAATTCAAAGAATTCAAGAACGAAGTAGAAAAACAATTAGGCAAAAGTATTAAGACCCTCCGCTCGGATCGAGGAGGTGAATACTTAAGCCTGGAGTTCGATGACTATCTGAAAGAGCATGGGATCTTATCCCAACTCACTCCTCC